AGAAGTCGGCTGCTTTCTTCATTCACTTTTAAAATGCAGGACTCATTTGAGTGAAGCCAGTGCAGGCCATATTTATTCTAACCAGTCATTTCTGTCATTCTGTTGGGTTTCTAGTTCTCCACATACTTCCCTGGTTACTTTGATGGACAGTACTGGCTGTGGTGGGTGTTTCTGGTGTTTGGTAAGTAGCCAACCTCTGCATTTAAATGAATCAAATAGGGAATCGAAAAGTTTTGTTTTGCTTGTGACACATTTCTGCTCTCTGGAGCTCCATTGCTACAGTGTTGGGGTGTGAATTGTTACAGCAGGATAGTTAACCTTAATTATCCTTTTAGATAATCAGTTATAATTATTACAGCGATATAAAAATTTAATTTCTCCAACCAAATATATATATATATATAATATTTTTTTCTGATTCGTCGCATTTCATTCAGTCTTTTGCAATGTGTTTATTGCACATGTTTGTATCGCAGTGATGGTGAAAATACGACTTATTGGTCAGCAATAGAAAAAAGGTTGATACATTTTAAGCAAAACAAAAAAAGCTACACAGAAAACAAACTAAGTCTGTTTTTGATGATGCTCTTCACTTTTACTGGCGTTATTATTGCCTGTGCCATGTGCACTCTAGGAATCCCCTGTTTGCAAGTGGCACGATGGTGGTCAAATACGCACCAATCAGAGGACCAGTAAACATAAAAAGACAGAACAACTTTTGCTCTCACTTATCTTTGGCTTCTCCTTTTCTGTAGTAGACTTCACTATCAATACAATTAGACAAACGGTAAACATTTGCACAAACAGTACATGCAATACAGTAACAGTAAATCTGACCTTGTTGCGCAGTGACTTCAGTTCTCTGGTGACCTCCTCCTGATGTGCTTTAGTGTCAACAATGGGCTTCAAGTAGCGCTCAAGTAATTTGCTCCAGAAGTCTTGCTCACCCTAAACACATAGATTCATGTGCACAAACAATTTTTAATGCAAATATTAATTTTCATCTGCTCGAAGCCATCGCATATATAATCATAAAGTAATATTTCAGGATGGTTGCTTACTTTTTTCATTGATGTACCTTCATTAACCTAATCATTTAAAAGTAAAGCTAAGAATGCCAGAACATTTCCATTTACCCTTTTGTAAGACCCACCCTAGATGCATCCTCTCTCATACGTGACAGGTGTGGTGGCAATACTTTCTCTAAATAACTTTTTGTTTATCTGTACAGAAAAAATATTTTTAGCTTTATAGCTAAGCCTGACTTGTCCCTGCTAGCTGCTGTAAAGGATTTGCTTCTCACAGACCTGGGGGCTGAATCAGCATCTTACCTCATCTAGTTTTTGCACCTGCGGGGCGGTGAGTGTTTTCTCGATGGCTCTCTTTACTCTTTTCTCTAGTTTCTCCATTCGATTGGTTTTAAGGATACGCCGAGCCTAGGAGATAGAGTCAATTACTCAGGGATTCAATCATTCCTCTTCTGCATTAGATTCTAATTTAGATTTTTCATAAAATTAAAAGCCTTGGAATAGAGGTAGCAATATGTTGATGAGATAATAAAGCAGTAAACTGTCTATATGCTTATTTCATAAGGGAAATTGCATTGACAGATATCAAATAAATATGGCAAAATAAATGTTAAAGAAAGTGAAACTAAATAGCTGAGCTCTTGGTGCCAAACTCATCACATATTGTTTTAGAACAACACATTATTTCTATTTTAATCAAATCAGTTATCACCTGCTCTGCCAGTGCATATTGTAACTCCTCCAGCTGGCTTGGTGTCAGAATATCTTCAGGCCCCACTGCACTTAGCTCTCCATTAACAGTATCTGTTAACATTACGATCAACTCTTCACACAGTTCACTCTGATTTTTGTTGCGGAGTGTGTATCTGGGGAGAAGAAAAGCACAAGAATGAATAGTTGTAATTATACAATTGCCGTTGTAAAGTTCTACCTGATACAACAGTGTTACTGTGTTCTGTTTTGACTTAAGACACGAAAAATACAAAAACACACATAATGAATAGCACACATAAAATTTCTTACAAATTATACTTGTACACATACCTGTTTAACATTGGTAACAACACATACAGACACATGAATTGAAACTATTCAGTGAATTTCTCTTCAGTGATAGTCACTGTTTATTTTATGCAAACACAAAACTCGGATTTCTTTGTATAATTTTAATTATTTACCGTATTTGTTCTTGTAGATTTCTTTTCATGTTGGCATATGTCAGTTTCTTCAAAAACTCCTCTTTCACCGGTGTCACCCAGTCTTCACACACAGACACACACAGACAGACACACACAGACACACACACGCACAGACAGACACACGTAAGTGACATCATTATAGTGTGCTACGCCTATTGTGCTCTACATAGTGGATTGTATAAATAACAGTAGTAAAAGAGTTTTAGGGCAAATAAACATTTAAAGTGCTTCTCACCACTGACAGGAAACTCCTCTGTTTCCTCTTGGTCATCATCATCTTCGTCAAATCCACTCAGTGATATGCTCCTTTTTTCATCACTGCACACATGCATGCACACACACTTGTTAATTTTGGGTAGTACTTCAGAATTCCAGTGTATTTGTCCTTCTACAAGGACAGAGGCTAATTTAAATCTGAACCTGATATTTTCTAAATAAGGAACAAGCATCTTCAGTTTGGGACTTGAACTGTATTGAACTGTGTTTACTGTCAGCAGTTTGTAGAGGTGAGTTTGTGACAGAATGACATTTTGGCTGATTGACTTTATAGTAGTACAGGTTTCTGGCAGGTTGACTCTAATATTTAGTAACCAAATAGATTAATGATCAACAGAAGAGAGGAAAGAAAAGAAAAATAAATACCTCTCACTGGAAGCAGCATCGTCGCCGTTTGCTTCCTTCATGTTCAGTTTGTCAGTGGGAAGTTTCTTAGCTCCTTCTACAGCATCTTCTTTGGTGTTAAGTTTGGCTTGAGGCTCCAGCTTTGCAGCAGGCTGTGGAGTTATTTCCTGGGTTGTGATTGGAAGGGGAGGGATGGCGTGCTTTGTATTCTGGCCTGTGATCTGTTGAATCATCAAATTCTCTGTTTCCTGCGTTATCTGCAAAGCAATACGATAAAGATAATTTATCCATTCATCTATTCATCCATTGGAAGGCTCGTCAGTGGCTGTTTGGTGACAAACAGTACCTGTATCTTCATGTCCCAGCAGCAGAGTCTACAGTTTTTGTCACACATAATATTATGGTTCTTCTTCACTGCTCCTTCTCCCCTGACAGGCAGAAGGAAGGAAGGACAGTCAGAAAAAACAGACTCACATTAAAATACTGACACACATGGTGAGTGATTATCGGGGATGCAGATTGGAATTAATTTTGTTTGTGTTGTGCAAGAGAATAAATGGTTAACAGCACCCTGCGTCCACTGCATCCTGAATTGGATAAGCAGTGGAAAATAAAAGGATGGATGATTTAGTGGATTTGGTCAGCTAAAAGTCTTCTTGACTATACACCTATCATCGTAGACTTGTCATAACATTTGCCTACGTTTTTGTAACTTTTAGTTGGTTATTCATAACTTGATAATCTTAATTTCAATTGTTGTACTGTAGGTATTTTATTTATTGCACCTTTCTTGGACTGTTAAGTTTAATTGAGTTCACAGTTCTCAGGCTAATTTTGTTTCTGACATTAAGAACTCAACTCATGATACTCAGTGACACATGTATACATGCTGGGTTAATCAGTTCATGTAATAATAATCATGGATTACATCACACAAGTGCTTTCCTCTTCGGAGTTGCACCGCAGTGTGTTTAATCCACTTAAAATCAGTTAAATGTAATGATGTATAATTGATTATAGTAACACAATCACCATTATTGCTACTTGTACTGCTGATAAGAAATCTTACTCTTTCTATTAGTTTTTTCTGCTTCGATCAGTACCACTTTTCCCCTTACTGTTATCTTTACTGCTGCCACTAATACCATTAGTGCTAAAACCAGAAGTCAGTTAATCAGCTCAGCTAATAGATTGGTGAAAGTTTTGATTGATGATTGGATTCCTAAATTGGGGGATTTGCAGCCTCATTTTAATAAAATCATAAATTAAAAATTAAGTAATTAAAAGATGAATCAATAATGAAAATTATTGTTTGCAGCCGAAAGTAGCACTGCTTCTTCTAATGAGATCAGTGCATTACTTGTTGGTTTCCCTTGTGCCCCAGGACACAATGTGCATGTTAACCAGTGAGTAGATGGTAAGTAGGAGATATCCACTGGGGATACAGATGAAATACATCAGACCGTAGATAATCATCCCTGTGGAAGAACATAACGTAATGTAACATAAGCTGTTAGCATGACATGACATACTGTTAACATAATGTAACATAACATAAAAGTGTTAACATAACATGATTTTTATTTATTTTATTTTTATAAAATTTATGAGATTATATAATCATACCAAACTCCTCTGGGTGTAGTATAGCAGTCACCATGTACATGATTGCCATAGAAACCAAAAACAAGCCAGTAGGGGTCAGGAAGGTGCCCTGAATCACCATGTCACCTGAAAAGAGAAGGTGGTGTGTGTATGTGCAGTTGAGGGTTAAAATATATTTACTAAAAGATTTTTACTAAAAAAAATGTTAGTAATATGAAGTGAAAAAGAGTTGTTTTTTTGACGCACCGATGATTGAGAACAAGGATGCAGTCATGAGGAACGCGTACAGAACACTCATAATACCAGCAATGACAATTTGATTATTAGGCTTGGCTACAAAACAGACGATGATGTAGAACACTGGAGGAATGCTTGCAATGATGATGGAAAGTGTTCCAGTGATTCGGAAGACAAACTGGAAAGCACCTGTCAGGAAAATTCATGGACAGAGACAGTCAGAGAAAAAGAGAAATAAATTGCAAATGCAGGCTGTCAGTACAGTGAAGTTATTAAGGTGGAAACTAAATAATGGGCCATGCATTTCAATTCCTATAAGTCACACTAAAATTTATTACAAAGTCTCTTTTGATTTAGACAAGTCCAAGGATATACAGCATTATGAAACATTATGTAACATTTACAGACCAACTGGAATAAGACATGAAATGACACACTAGTAAGCTAGTGTAACTCACACGTTAGGGTTAGGTTTTTATAGGGTTAGGTTTATACTGCGTAGCACTATTATTCACCTGGCATTCATTGCTGAAATGCCTCAAAACTGATTTTTATTATACCTCTCTTGGATATGTGACATGCAATGTCATAAATTGTTGTTATCACACAGTGCAAAAGGGCCATCTTAAGTCAGCTCACGTGTTCACCTGCGTTCATGATAAGATAAAATTTACTGGAAAATTAAAGTGTGGAAAGCCCTTTGAGACTCAAGTAGTAATTGCAGAAATTGCACTTGCAAACTGATTTTACAACAGCAGTTTTGAATAGAAAACAGCACACCATAGCTGCGTAGAGAATAAGTTAACTTCCAACACCACTGTTGTGTTAGATAGTAGTGTGAATGCAAGGTTTCTGAGAAAATGTTCAGAATTTGTTTTGAGCATAAAAATAAAATTTATTAAGAAATAATTGTTTTCAGTTACAGAGTTCATGTAAATTGAGTCATGGATGCAAGTATGATAAAGGGCATCATTTAACAGGAGATGAGAGACGCAGTGACATGGTGTTAGTGAAGAAAATATAGCCCCACTGCTGTCTTTAAGTGACCGCCAATAAAAAAGGGCTAGTACAATAATAAAGTAAACCAGAACCTACCTGCTATCATGAGAGTCACAGATGCTGGACCAAGGATTGAGGAACCAACTGTGAACATCTGGTAGAAGATGTACAGTCTGGAGATGGATGAGTTTCTCTTCACTGTCTCAGCACCACTACAATTTAAGTCAGTGCATATGAGTACAATGTGCATTTCATAGTGTAATAGTATACAGGAAATATATCTTCTACATATGACTCCAAAACTGTAGAAATAAGAATATATATCAAAATAAAGATGATGTCAAAATTGAGTTTAACATTTTTAATCACTTAAGTGAAAAAGTGACTGGCTATGGAATGAAACGCCACTACTAATAATAAATAACACTAACCTGTGCAGAAGGTCCAGTGTATTGGCCAGTGTAGAGGGTCCCCATCGTCTCCTCTGGTTGTAAAACTCTTTGAACTCCTGCGGTGAGTTGGTGTATGCATCTGATGCAGCATTGTATTCGACACGCCATCCTTGCTGCAGTAACAAAGTACACAGCCAACGATCCTCCCCTGGAAAAGTATATTAACAATGCAAAAAAAGAGATGGTCTAGTATGGATGTGAACAGGCTAGAAGCCAACAAGAAAGGTAAACAGATAAATCTAGGGGGGGTAAAAATGGCTGGTGCACATGTGTCTGTTTGCCAACCTTGGTCATATTGCACATATTCTGCTGCTCTTGTTGCAGTTGTTGTGTATCTCTTTATAACATTGTCATCCATTAAGGCAGACCCTCTAAACAGACTGAAACATCCTGGACTGCACAGCACAGAACCAAACACATGTTCTGCTGTCTTCTGTAGCCAGTGGCCTACTGCATACTCAAACTTCTGGTACCACACCATGGGACCTGTGATGGAAGGCACATGGTAGTGAGCATAAAGGAGACATGGTGACAGAGAAAATCAAATCACAAGAGAAATGAGAGAATACACTGGGCGTGTGCTGGACTGGAGACAGACATAGATGGGTTGCTATGGCCTGTGGTGTTGTTACTCTGTAATAGCCCCAGGTACCAGCTGCAGAGGGCGAGTGCAATAAATTCATAAACAATAAATAAATAAAAAAAATAATTGTACTTACCCATACCAGTTGGATGGATTCTACCACACGCTGCACCTACATTGTCATACATTCTCAACCTGTCAATCAACATAATTTTTAATTACAATTACAAAAATATTTCATAAATAATACAATAATAAATGAAAACAGTTGCTGAATGACAAACTAACTGACAAAACTAGGCAAAGCATTTCCTGTCCACCAGTGAATTATGTTGGAAAATGATGAGATCATAGACCTGAGTTGCGATAGTACAAGTGAGTCGGTCAATTTTTCTGTCACTGACCTGTCCACAAGCAGAATCACAGCTTTAGGCTGGAAGTCGGTGTCTCCGTCCAGAGCCAGGATATACGTGTTGTCATCTGAGATGAATTTTCTCTTGTTGTCGTTGTCATACTGAGGCAACAGGAAACTCTCACCATCCAAAGAGATCAAACTGGCTCTGCATGGGTTATTCTGGCGCTGCACAAAACAGAATAGATTTATAGTATAGTATTTTACACACATACTGTCAAAAATACTAATATGTACATATTTTACACAAGGCAGAAAAGTCTTACTGGGATCTTCTGAGGGTTCTTGACGATGTAGCCCTTCCAGCCGAGTAGATAATACAGATACATAATCTGAAAGTCATATGCATTAATTAGGGCTGCGTTAATCAAAATGTAATGGAAATCGCAATATCCATATTGCAGGAGCTGCAATTTTGGTTAAGTTAAAATGTGTCACAACATTGTTGTGCATTGTGAGCACCATAGGCGTTGTGGTGCTACAGAGATGCCCCAGGCTGCAAATCATATTCTCCAGATGTAAAGGAATATGTTTGTTTGGTACAAGACTCAACAAAAATCACTTCAGAAGTTTCACATTTTTTTCAGTGAAAATGAAATGCAAAAACGACCATTCCAATCAATATTGCATATCACAGTTGCAATATTTGCCAAAATATGATTGTTTTTGCATATTCTGCAGCCCTAACATTAGAATATCGTGTGAAAATCCACGACCCTGTGTCAAAGACATGGGTAAAATCTAGAGCTGATCTGATATTTGGGTACCAATTAAATATGTAATGCGATTTTTAAGTATTGCGATTTGATATTTTAATTTTTGTTTACTTCTGTTCATTCAACAACTTGAATCATACACTTCAGGAGACTATGTATATCATGAGTCATATTTCCAAAAACAATGTCAGTCAGTCTCACATGCCGTCACTACCAGGCTAACCAGTGAGCTCCTGGGCTAACTGTTATCTACTAGCTAGTGTGGCAATTAAAAACTGTAAAAAAAAAAAAAAAAAAAAAAAAAAATGGTGATACTTAAATTGATCAATTTTTTCGCACCCCTAGTAAAGTCTAAGTTATTTGTCCCACAGAAACTGGAGCAGATGTGACTTGTCAGGTATTAACTCGTTTCATCTGAGAGACATGATGAAACTGGATCCATAACAGAGAGGACAATATAATTGTATCCTCATTATAAAGCATATCCTAAATTATAACTAAACTTATTCCTACAGAAACAGATACTGTATATAAATGGTAGGCATGAAAAGATTAAAGATTCATTTTATCAACAGCATACTCTCCAGTATTAATGAATTTATTATTGAGCTCATTATCAAGCTTCATAAGTCTGTTTAAGACAACAGAGATCCTATCTGTCTCTCGCTTTTCAATACTGAATATGTTCTTCAGACTAATCAGTAATGAAAATTGGCATTGAAAAACACCTTTTCATACCAAAGGGCCACCTGCTCTGTCAATCACTGTTTGTGAATGTATTATGGCCATAGACTGTATATGAGGAGTGGGTGGTAGGTCTATTGTGATCGGACAATCTCTTCAATATCTGTTGTTTCTCAGAGACGTGAATAATAATAACTTTATTTATGCAGTATAGAACCCTTCTTAACAAAGCCACACAGTGCTTCACAGAAAAATAAAACCAGATAAAAGCGAAGGCCAAAGAGCCTGAGCATAGAAGTGAAGATAATTAAATTAATAAGAACAATCAAAAAGAATAGAACAGCATCAATAAACATATTACATTACGCAATTTTTGAACGATTTGACAATAGGTGAAGAGAGGCAATGGGATATGTAAGAACAATTATTAGGGATAAAACAATGTAAATAAAATGCATATCAAACATTACCAAATACTGACTCAAAGGGACGTGTTTTAAACGGACTTAATGATTTAGAGCAACTGATTTTCAGTCAGGGGAGACTTCCAGAGTCTGGGGGCTCTAGACGACTGCATTTCATTAGAACACTCAGATTTTTTTTTAGCCATGCCCTGTGTCATACTCATGTCTTAACTGGGAACTACTTGGTGCAAGTCTTTTACTGTTTGCCACCAAATAGCATCTTGATTTACACACACATGCACATATACTGGAATAGAATAGACACACAACATGATTAGTACTCCATACCTGGGACCATCTCTTCTTGTTCCTGATGAGACTTTTGTCTTTTAGGTGAACATAAAGCATGTTGCCTTCTGGCATAACAAACATCAGCCTTCCACCGTAAGGAGTCTCAATGATTGACACATCATCTGGCTCTTTGTTGGTAAACACCCTGAATAGTTGGATGGATAGATGATTGGTTAGAAAGATAGATGTATAAATGTATAGATATATAGATAAATAGTTGATAGATGATAATCTCACCTGTAAACCTCTATGACAACTTGGATCAAGTCGTCAACGTAAGAGTTAACCAGCCTTTTCCCTGTATCTTTTTCAGTCATGAAGGCATCATCCACGTAAATATGACACTCGAACTCAAAACAGTCCTTATGTTCCTCCTTTGGATCACCTCGATAGCGGTCCAACCTTAAACAACAAATTATGGTAACAACACTGCAAAAGCCTACTTTCTTCTTCTCTACTAACTGTCAAAGCATGAAAGGAAATATATAGGGGAATACAATTTCAAATGTTACACAACAAAAATTTTTTGCATTTTAAGTCCTTTAATATCTTAAATCATAAGCAAATGAAGTGGACACATTTAATTCACGATTAACACAACATAAAAGCAAAATAACACCAGGCTGAAAATCTGTGTTTCAAAGCCTCTCTGGTTGAAAATTTCATGTCTCTTGCAACACTGATCAGAAGTGAAGTCTGTTGATGTATTGACTCACCCTGGAGTACACTTCTACATCACTGCAGCAAGGTGAGAAGTTAAACCAGTGGATATCAGTGGAAACAAGATTTTTAGCTGCTCTTAACTTTTGCTTTAAAGTGATGTGTAAAAGGAATTAAATCCATGTTCTGTATGTGATACTGGTACACCTAGGTGTCTGCTGTGACTGTGTGTCGAACCTGAACATGGAGGTGAGAATCTTCAGCATTTCATCATAGGTCTCATGCCACATGGTGGCACAAAGATAGATCACACAGTTCTGTATGTCATCATGGCTGTAGATCAGAGGAGAGGGGATGGGAGAGGTTTTCAACAGAAGTTTTAAACATTTCATGTTGTGAACGTATAACTCTCTCAACAGTCAAGGAAACTTTTATCTGTTATGGAGGCTGGGGACTATTAAAGTCCCATTGTGCCAATGATTTCATACAATAACCACACATGCACTAACTTCGTAATGCAAAAAAGTAAAAATTTCTCGTAGTTGACACGAACAAGAACATACGCAATAAACAGTATAAAGTAATAAGGAACACTCTTCTCCCTCTCACCTCTCTTGGTTTCGGGCTCGTGGCACCTTCATCTTGGTGTTGAGTAGCAGAGACAGGTCAATGAAAGCAGATTCATAGAGTCGACGAACGAAGAGCTGAGACGTTCTCTCTATACGCTGGACCTAAGACATGGTGAACCATATAGAGCCATTTAGGAGTATTTCTTTTTATCTGATTTTAGCTAAGAGGTCCCTGTTTTGCTGAAATTACTAGTAGACCTAAAATTGGATAAATTGTGATTGTAGGTTGTAGCTTAGATCAAATTGAACGATATAAATAGTCTTTTTTTAAGGGTTTTGTTTGTCCAAATTACAAGGAAAACAAATCCTCACTGACCTTTACTGATATCAAACCATGCTAGTTTTGGTGTGTGTGTGTGTGTGTGTGTGTGTGTGTGTGTGTGTGTGTGTGTGTGTGTGTGTGTGTGTGTGTGTGTGTGTGTTTTCATACGGTTACCTTGATCTTCCATACATAGTAGGTACATGTGACGAAGCCTGACCACATGCACACTCCCTCCAGTGCCAGCATTGAAAAAGGCCATTGTATGTAGTAGCTGTCAAATTGTCCATAAACATTTTGGTTAAAATATGCAATGACTGGATGTATGTAGATGCTAGTATATTTTGTGATAGTTATTGTCACAATAATTATGCTCATGACACACAACTCAATGTAGCCATTTCTCCCGATGACGCAAGACCAATTTTAAATTCTAAATTTTAAAGCTCACATGGGGCTTGTATCCAAAACTGCTTTTTATCATTTGAAAAATATTTCTAAAGTGTGACCATTTATCTCTCTGACTGACACTGAGAAACGTATGCATGCTTTTATATCCAGCAGACTTGACTATTGTTATACTCTCCTATCTGGTCTACCCAAAAACGTTATAAACCAGCTTCAGCTGATTCAGAATTCTGCTGCCCGAGTGTTGACCAGGACCAGAAGGAGAGAACACATTACACCTCTTTTAAAGTCCCCACATTGGTTGCCTGTCAGTCTATGTATTGATTTTAAAATTCTTTTACTTGTTTATAAAGCGCTTCATGGTGATGCACCTGCATATACAATGTGAAGATGCTATTGGTCACCAAAATCTGCACTGTCACATATTCTTGCATAATTAATATTGTGGGCTTTATTTGAATGATCTAAAGTGCATAGTCTAAAATGCATGGTGCAAGTCCATGTCTTTTTGCCTATTTTAATGTCGGAAAAAACAGTCGCTGCGCCAGGCGCATGGTTCAAAAGGGTTGTGCTTAGTGTCAAAATTAATCAAGGGAGTGTTTTTGGCGAAACATCCAATAAACCAATCACAGTGCCATCTCCCATTCCCTTTAAAAGCCAGACGTGCTATTATAATGGTGCAGTGTTTCACACAGAGTAAAATTCTATTTGCGGTCAATTGCTCACATAGTGTGACTGACCAATGAGCCCAGCCCCATCACATGCAGCAGCAACTCTGCGTGCTGAGGGGCAAAGAAGGGATGAGCCAATCAATGTGCTGTGCACAGCTCTACAGTGAAGTAACGGCACAAATCACAATGTTAGCAATATTTTATGTTACATGATTGTTATGAAACTGTGGTGGACAAAATTAGATGATGAATGGGGAACACTGTGGCGGATTTACCAGGAAAGAACGCTTCTCTGCAGTCTCATGCAAGAGACATCCACGACATGCCCGTGTATGTTGCCACATATTACTCTCTTGACAATGCGCCCATAAAATAACAGTGAATAACTGTGCCCCTGACTTAAGACCAGGTTTTTGCTTGTTCATCGTGCAATCAGTTTCTGCTGCCTCAAGATGAGTGCAAGTGTATTTGCTATTTAAACAACGTAGGCGCTGGAGAGAAAAATGACAACTGTGTCGGTCTAAAACTAGCAAAGACACTTGGCATTTCGCTTTGCGCTGGGTGTAAGATAGGGCCCTATATGTCTCTTGTTTGTTCCCCTACTTAGCTCATCCTTGACAACAACTAGATTTGAACAATATGCTTTCCTTGAACCCCCTTATCTATAAGGTACAGGTAATAGCAGTGGCTTCATCTAGACACAAACAGTCATAACAGAAGCTAAAAATGTCTAACAATGTGAAGGTTGTTATGGTGTTAGTGAAGTTTAGGAAAACAAGAGGAACACTGGAGTGAGAAAAATTTCCTTCACAATCAGTCATCTGTGAAGCACTTTGAACTAACCTTCATGAAAAGTGCTATAAAGTTTGATTGATTGATGGGATATGGCATGATATTTAGGACATTTCACTCACAATAAGCACATTTATAAACCAAGAAAACTGCTTGAAATGTGAAGAGTACAACTGCTTGCAGACACTGACAGTTTAAACCTGAAACAGGGAAATGCTGAAAAGTGTTGGCTGAAATACAGTTAGCAGAAATGTTGTACATACTCACTCACACACTCACACACCTGTTAAGGGAAGTACGACAGATGCTCCTGGTAATCTCGAGTAGGACTACAGGGGTTGTGTTCTTATGGCTCAGGTAGACCAAGCTTCCACAAAACTCTGCAATGGAAACATAGCTTTACATTTCAGAATGCTGGTAATAAGTGAAATTATGTTTATGAAGATTTCTCACATTTCACCACAGCTATTCAAACATTTTTCAGCTTACTGGTGTATTACAAAAATAACTTGATTAAACTGAAACAAGAGCACATCTCAATGACTTTAAAGAGAGCACAAACAATTCTAAATATTGGGTTAATGTTAAAAAAATAAGTCTACCTTGGATGCTTGAATGCTCTGCGCCGTCCAATTTTTGTGCCTGGGTTATAAAAAGTGTCAGTCCCAACAGTAGCACTGCAGGTCCTGTGCAACACACAGGCAGTGCAAAACTCATCCTGACTGCATGAATCTTACAGGCCACCACCCCAAACCAGTGGCAGGCTGCTGAGCAGAAGGCCTGAGACAGGAGACAAGGGAAGTATTAGCAATTCATTGTCAGGGGCATAAAATTAAATTTTTCAGTTTAGTAGGGCAGTTGCTAGGACTACAGATATAAATGAGCCACAGTCCATCTGATTTGCATAAAGTGCCATTAATCATGATGTGATACTGAACTTTTTAAGGCAAGTTTGGTGCATGTCTTTGATGCAGGGGAGTGCAAAAAAAGTTCCAAGTTGAATATTGTTTAAATAGAAGAAACATTTGGTACTGCAACCATACTACATGTGACAAAACACAGGGTAAAGAGGCTGAAGTAGGCAGCTCAGTGACGGACTTAAACCTGCTGGAGTTATTCAGAATTAATGTTGGAGATGTTTTTGTAGTTCCCAAAATGTTGCACAGGCCTAGTTAAGGAAGGAAAGAAGGATAGTTCCACTTCATCCTCTCATAAAATTCTAATGACACCTGCTTTGAAACGACAGGCAGGCGGGGCCCTTGGGTAATTTGCACGGCCCGGAGCATAGAGGGCCACCCGGCTCTGTTTCAAACTCTCTTGGGTGGTTAGGGTCCCTAATAAGGTGCTTAGTTCACCTATGTGTCGGGGAAGCTCTGCGCAAAACTGAGGCGTGGCCTTTTAAGTACATATAGAGAAATGCAATTTGAAGAATTCTTAGTAAATATCCCTCAAGGGAAACAGAAGAAGACATAACTACACATACCAATTGTACTCTATGCTGTATACCATATCTGTCTGTCTCTTTATGCCTGCTTTTCTGTCTCCCCCCTACCTACCTGTAAGAAAAACAGCACGAGTCCTATTTGCAGTAACTCCCAGTCATCTTTCTGCAGGTTAAAGTCCGACCAGATGATGGACTTCTGAATAAGCACATTGTGTAACAGGTATACCCCTCCTACAACAGAATAAAATGTTTCACTGATGTAAAAGAGACACTGTGCGATATAAACAAAATGGAATATCAAAAATATACAGATATAATGCACAATAAATACGAAAAGAAAACAAATAACACAATATGTTTGAATAGATTAACATGAAATCATGTGTGCTGATTTGAAAAGGTAAGAAACCCTGGATTTTAAGTAAATATGAAGAAATCAGGCTGTTGTAAATAAGTTGATGTTTTTGTGTTGTGCAGAATTGAAAGAGCAGTTTTGCAAAATTGAAAACAATTTAAGACTTCATCACAGTTAGAGAATATCCTCTGTAAGCCATATGCATCCCTCACATCATAGAAATCTGTTTGTTCTCCATTGTGAATGTTGGAAATTACATTTTCCCAGTCTAAGCATTGCAAAACTGTTAATAATACATTTCAAGAGCATATGTGATTTTGTAAGCATAGCCTTTTGAGTATTGTATGTTGGTGCTGACATTGATGGCAGATAATTACCTATCATGATTATCCTCAGAATACTGCTGATGACAAACACAAAGTCCCTGAAACCATCCAATTCTGACAATGTATCCTGCAGGAAGAAGGATCGAAAAGAGTCTCACTGATCATGTCAAGTCAATATGTTTGTACACTACAAATATACAGACGAAAAACAGATCACTATCCACCTAAAGCTGTATGATAAGACATGGAAAAACACCTGGCACCGTTGGCCATGTTGGCAGTGCAATTACAAAACATTACGAGGTTAAAAAAGTATATTTTAAGGATTGCGGTCAATGGGGGATTTCAGCTTTTTACATAATGAACTTGTAGTCTACAGTGGAATGAATGGCCTGGGTAAATTCCATTTTTGGAAATAAATAGTGGTAGTAAAATAGTAGTTAAGTTGTTGTCAGAAGACAGAATAAAAGAAACGCATTATAGAAAACATTGTACCTGCATGCGGTTAGTAGCTTGCAGTGGATTTTCCCACCAACAAAGGGAGATGAGAAGTGAAGAGAAAATTCCCACTCCAACATAGACGTAGCAGTCGGCGCTCTGTCTATCCACATATGATGACACACGAACATAGTAGTCAACTCCCACGAGGCAGTAACCTGTTAGTTAGGAATTGGTTAGTTAATTTGTGAAGTGATGAAGCAGTTAGTTAGTTGGTTAGTTAGTAAGAGCTGTTTCTCTATTATGTCAGTGAATTTGCATGCAAGCTAAAAAAATGTAAAAGTATTGAAGCAGTTGTCATTTGACTGGAAAATAAATTACTCTGCTCAGGTATCCTCCTAGAGATTACTTTCATAAACAATACATTTGTAAATAGCAAATAAGTTTTGAAAGAAATGTAATGCAGACGGAAGAACGTGATTAATAATGTTAAGGTTAATAGGTTGGTATAGTTAATATAATGAGGAAATGGTATGTAACATGTTAATGTTTAGGTACTGGCAGCACTATAGGGACTGATTGTGGTCTGGTTAATTACAGAAAATGTGACTTGTTTATTCACATTTAATGAAAACTGCAACCTTTCCCTAACCTTAACTAAACCTAAAAGGAGATGGGACTGTGGTTGCAAACTCTGGGCTCTGGTGTCACGGTCACGTATTTTGTCTGGCCACCATCCACCCCAGTCATGTCCTTGTGACTCCAGTGTGGTAGTCAAATGTAACACTTTATTCACAGAGATGTTGCCTCTGAAAATAATCCAGCCAGTGATTATGTTCGCTACCACAATGTAGTTGGGAAAACAATTAAGTTGTAGATAAATGTCATTTCTTGGAGAAAGGGTTGCAGTCATTGTTACATGACCTACCTAGATTTGTCTAATCTAGGTAACATCGCATTTGTTACCTAGATAGGCTACTTCTGGCACTAGGCTTCATTCATGTTGTAGCTAAAAGTTTGTCAGGATTCAAACATGTTTTATAAACAATGTGAGCTGTTGAAGTGTTTGTCTCCTCCATGAAACCTGGAGCTTGCAACATACATGAAACTACTATTTGAATGCTCAAATCAGAGCATGTCAGTGTTTTGCCAGTTAGTAAATCTTATATCATTCATCTGAGACAGTTGTTACAATTAGGGTGGCAGATTTACTGAACCCGATGTTGCATGGAAAAAAAACAAATGAACAATGGAAAGAAAGTGTTGGGGCTGATAATTAGAGACACTTCAATTCAGTCAAAACCTGAAGGCAGAAACTATGACTGAAATGTGTTCAAAACAAGTGGGAGAAACTGAGGAAAACAATCAGTATATGACATCTATTATTGCACCTTTGCCGTAGGAGGAAGAAGATACCAAACTGTTGTCCTCTTTCTTCTTCACTACTATAGTCCCAGTTTTGTATATGGAAATATGTATGAGCATGGCTATCAAACATTACATTTGAACTAACAGACACTTTCAAAGGTGAATTTAATATATTCTTGTGAAGCAGTGATATGTTAAGTCTATGGAGTAAAAGAACAGTCAGATCCAGATTTTCATTTTGGAGATAACAACAAACCAAATGGGACTGGACACTCAACAGCACCATCTTTTGACTGTGAAGGTAGTATTGGAGGTCGGCTTTGTGATTCTGTCGTCGATATTAGTTACAAGTGTTCAAAAAAAGGCAGACAAAGACTTCCTAATGGGCAGTAAATTAATGAGTTACCTGCAACTGTGAGAATGAGGGAGCATATTGGGAACACGATTTTCCACTTTTCCCTCTGTAGTCTGAACACAATCTGCAGAATGGCAGACATAATACAGACTCCTCCACTGATGAAGAGATTAGTCAACACATCAAACTGAGGCATTACGACTAGCACCAGGACTGAAGTTCCAAGAGACACCAGACACTCAATTGCACAAACCTGGAAGAGACACAAAGGTGCCATTATGTCACATATACATATATTTCAGTGGGTGAAAACTGGTCTACTCTCATGAATGAAACTGAATCCAAACAGTCAAAATAGCGCAGCTGTGGCCAAAATGATTACCACCAATTGTACAACACTAACTTTTTTAAACCATACTGGAACTGTTGTGGTTAAATAAATTGACCTTTGCCCAGCATTAGTTTAACAATCAAGAAATCAAATGTTATGTGGATTTGCTGAATGTATTGATATGGCAGTGAGGATTTTGCTTGTTTCCTGTGTGCAGTAATTTTGAAAACCACAAGAAGCATGATTCTCATTCATGTGTACACATTGACTAGGAACATGACAATATGATGCACTGACATACTATGGTTAAAATCTGCTAATTGTACATGCACTTGTGTATAGTCATGTATTTGGTTTAGTAAAGTGTAATATTTTACTGTGGAACCATTTTACATTGTTCCCTAAAGTGTCTCTTTCATAAAGAGTGACAGATGAACAGATTAAAAACTCAACCCCCAACAAAAATCAAAACAAATATTGTTGTTATATGCTTGTGATATTGCTAACCCCTAGATTTTAAGGTTGTACCATATGCATTTTTCCATTATCTTATTTGTTACAATCACATGCAAAGCACTGTACATAATAAAAAAGCAAGATTCATAAAAACGTACAAGTGACATGGTCTTCATGTTGGGCTGTACAAAGCTCTTGAAGGCACACCTCCACAGTGATTTAATGAACACCAGGAAGTTGGGGCAAACCAGACAGAAAACCAACATCAGCATGTAGAACTGTTTTTCCTTTTGGCTGCGCATGGAGGTTGGACTGGACAGCGTTGATAACACCAAGAGAGAGCCCTGATTGGACAAACAATTTAAGTATGTTAAGAAAAACTGAAATTTGGACTTCCATGTACTGTAAATATAAAGATGACTAGGATTTAATGACAACCTCTCCCTGCTTCCAGCTCCTATTGTAGATTAACTGTAAGGTCACCTCATTGCTTCATTACCATTTACCCTCACACCAATAAGGAAGTTAATCAGGTTGAACAATAAACATTTTTATTACATAGGAAAATTGAGACAGTAATATTTTGGGAATTCATTGCTTTGTGACTGACTGTAACTCTGTGATTCATCAACAAGACATAGAATTAAAGACAAGGCCAAAGGAGGAAGATTAAAAACTGAAAGGGAATAGGGACAGAAGCTCAGAGGTAGACGATGCAAACACAAGACTGATAGAGAAAAATGAAGATGATATTTTCAAAGAGGGAGACAGATACACAAAGAAACAGAGAGAGATAAAACAACAAAGGGAGAAAGATGGGTACAAAGGCATCAAGTATTGTAAGCTCTGCCCTATCATAAATAGCTGGAATATTGTTCATGTTACTTTGTGGACAGACAGGCAGAAACAGATAAGACATATTTTGGTAAACCGTTTAAGTTCTGAAAAAATGAACTACAATCACTGCACTGAAAACAATTTATATTTTAATATAAAATACTTATCTAATGCATAAATAAATGTGTTTTTGGTGTTCATGATTGTTTATAGCTGATTAGTCTAACATTACCTGTGCAGTTTAGATACGTTTAAAACAGCATTCAGTTTTCTAATCACAACAGGGTTGGTTAAATATTTCAGGAACAACAACTCTCAGATGCAGGCTACAGAAAGTGATACAATTAAAGAAATGTATCATCAACAGCACATATTCAAATTAAATAATTTGTTCAAGTGTAGTAATAAAAATAAATACAAGTTTTTACAGCAATCGTTTCTAATTTGCCAATTGAATATTGAATACACAGTAACAGCTTTAAACACTTATTGGCAGTAAAAGACATGCACACATGTATTTGACTAAGATCCTATGATGAAAAATGACCCAAAGATTTTTAGCTTGATGCCTCTGAAACCAGAGCCAGGAACTTCATGGTGGTGTTTCTCCTTCTATGCCTCACCACCAATGAGGAATAGAAAGAAAAATAACTTTACAGATAGATAGACGGGTAGATAATCCTACCTTAGCGATAACAGCACTGGTCAAGACGGCTAACCCCACAATCACCGCCACCAGATACTGGGCCAGTTGGAAACATCTTCTCTTAGATTCCTTCTCAGCTCCTACTGGGTTCAGCTGGAATGGATCCCATGTATCCCTGAGATGCACACATGGACGCACATATATTGACCATCTTGAGCCGCTATCACAGTTATATCATAGTTGTCCAAGGAAAATTAACCAAGATGGCAGATCCATGGCAGAAGGCCAGTGAGACCCATTGAATTATAGACTCCTGCTGGACATGGGCTAAAACCAGAGAGCGTGTTAACCTGTTATGAGGAAGCCAACAAGACCAAATAAAGATATATATGAAGGAATTACAATTATTATAATTCAGATGATGCAGGTCTTAATCAGGGTGTGTGTGGTCTAGTCATTTAAATAACTGAACCCATTTTGTATATTTCCTGTGAGGGTACAGATTCATGGGTACAATTTGTCTTTACCTTTTTGTGGCTGTCAATGTCATTTCTTTTTTGAATACAATATTCCCATCTTGTTTTCTTTCTTTTAGTTGTTAGATTTGTTTGTCTGTCTACTTTGTTGTTACCAGCCACTTTGCATTGCTGTGAGATGAAAGATTTTATCATAAAGAGAAGGGTGAATGATGTGTGATAGAGATCCAAGCCTGGATTCTGACCTAAGCAAACAAAGGTACACAGGTATGACAGGTGACCGAGTCTACACCGGAAAACAAACTTAAGATGTTGATTATTTATCAGCCTATCAGCCACCCCCCACTGCTAGCTGAATAATGTCAATTAGGAGGGTGTGGGTTCTCTATCTGGAATTGATAACACATGCGGTCTTTGACTTTGCCATAGCAACTATCAAATATTATCAGTTACGTATATCAAATACAGCTGTTCTTTTATGGCCTGAGTCACACTGGCAGAAGCTGTTTATTTGAGATAAGAGTGTTTGTGAACAGTGATGAACTCTTGTCTTCAATGATACATATAACTAGTCATTACGTAATTAACCATGAAAAGCTGTTCTTTTTAGAAGAACTAAGCTTTTAAAGTGCTGGAGGATAGACTGTATTTAATTTGAATAATCAATACCAATTATAATAACAGAGTACAAATGTATATCTTGTCACTCAAGCACAGAGAAGTTTAACACACAATGCCAACACTGATGTTGATGCCACTGATGCCAGTAAAGAAATAGATTTTTGGTTTCCAGTTTTGTCATTTCAATCCTGCTAAATGCTCTCTGGACCTCGTGGCTCATAATACTATTGGTATTTATCTTTCTGCCCAGCTCCTATTATTATTTATGACTGAAAAAAAAAATTTCAGTGATTTCAGTAACACCAGTATTTGCTAGTTTTCTCAGACTGTAGACACTATATGCCATATCTGGCATTGTTTTTTTTTATTTTTCCTTTTTAAAATCATACTTAATTGAAAATGTGTTTTCCTGTAAAACTTTCCTTTTTATCAGATGAACGATAGCAGAATATATATGTAATGTATTTGAAAAATTCTAATCCTAGAAACAACTGGAGTCTTTTCTCCTTAGTGGTATAAATATGCAGAAGGTGATTGAAACTATAGTATGTATTTAACATTTTAAATGGAGTAGCACTCCCTTAACAGCAGTCAGTGTCTGTTAGGATGATATCAGCCACAGCAATAAAGAGAAGCACAGCGGCGCACCGGGGAAATTAGCTGGTTCCTCAAATGTAAATTATACCAAATACAAACTTGGTAATACAATACTTTATTATATATCACTGGACAAACAATTTGATGATTATATCCATTACCAATATCCATCTAACTAACAATTAACCTCCTAATAGTGATAAAGAGGTTAATAAGCTTGTGGAAGTGCAGCAGCTGCCTAATTCAAAGCTGCATTGTGTGTTCAATGTATTTGTTTCTAAATCTGTCTCATGACTATAGCCAGTCAGATACAACTTTAAATGATGGCATGAAAAATTTTGCCTCGTTAGCATTGTTAGTTAAAGAATAATCCAAACTGTCCTTGAATAAGGAAATGAATTCCCTCTTTAATCTTTTCACTTCCAGTAAGTATCTGTGATCAAGTACAGATTGTTGCCAAATTGTAAAGTGTAACCTTTCCGTCTTTTCTATCTACTGTATGCAAATGAAGACAGTACAAAAAAAGCTATTTTCATATTGGACCATCTAGACAGACTGTTGGTCATTTCTGACTTAAGACTATAGTTGTAAACACATAGAAATAAATTATTTGTTATTGTAAACAGATTATGCCCTCTGAACAGATACAGAAAGCATCCAAGTTTGTCTGAATTTGTGTACTATATTCACAATAACTTTCTCACTGATACATTCAGACATTCAGCAAAGTCCTTCCTGAATAACTAATCAGTTTTCACCAGATTTGTTGGGCAGCGCAGGTTAAAGCTTGTCATATTATGTTTTTCTTATGATATAATTTAATCCAGTATTGAAGCCTGGCACGTCGTACAACTTGACAGTAGACCTGGAGCTAGGGAGCATTACAAATGTATATTCAGAATGGCCAGGAGAGCTTTTTAGATTTTTGTTAAGTCTTCTCAGTGACACTTCAAACCAACTTCATTTTCATTTATACTTCACACATCTTTTTTTCTTTTTTTTTTTATATATTATGTAACAGCTAGCTAATTAGGAATGTTTTTGTGTCAATAGCTTTCCATTTTACAGGATAATGTCAGTGTGGCTGTCCACCAGCTGAAGCTCAGTAGAAGTTGGGTGATGTAGCAGGACAAAGACCATAAATATCAAAGTAAATTCTAGAGCCCAGTTAGAGCCCAGACCTTAACCCAATAGTGATATTGTGGAATGACCTCAAAAGAGATCCACACTAGACATCCTTAGAATATGGCTGAGCTGAAGCTGTTCTATAAGGAAGAATTTTCCTAATTTCCTCCTCATCATTGTGCCGGTCTGATCAGCAGCTACTGGAAGCACTTGTTTGAAGTTATTACTGCCAAAGGAGGTTTGACCATTTAAAAAAATCCAAGGGTTCACTTACTTTTTCCACCGGCACTGTGAATGTTTAAAGGGTGTGTTCAATAAAGAGACAAAAGATTACAATTGTTTGTGTGATATTAGCTTAGAGACACTGTGTTTGTCTACATTTGTGACTTAGATGAAGATCAGATCACATCGTATAAAATGAATGCAGAAAACCAGGTCATTCCAAAGGGTTCACATACTTATTCTTGCCACTGTATGTATGATAAGAAAAATTTTACAGAGAAATTAAGCAGTCTATTGAATTTCTAACAAGGCCTTGCTTACACCCAGTATTAATCGTAATACAAATAGGTATAGGACTACAGGTAGTAGCTTTGGTTTACACCAAATTAAAAGACTTTTAGGAATATTTCCACAGGTTATTTCCTTAGCAAGTTATCATGTTTCCACAGTACAGAACCAATTTTGTTTGATTGCCAAAAAGCCTCACAAAGACAGCATGGATTACAAACAATAGAAGGAGCCACCAGAGAAGACAATGTTGTGCTGCCTATAGGAAGAAAGTGTCATCTAGACAGGTGTCTTTACCCATTGCATATATTTGATCAGGCAGGCTAATTGAGATCAAATTGTGGCAGCTGGGCCCAGTGGGCTGCCATCCATATGTATTTAATATATATTTAAATTCAACTTATTATCCTCTTTTTTCATCTGTAACATCAGTCACCGCCTTAAATGAAGCAGAAAATAAACATAATGACCTAAAGAGGCAACACGTAGGGTAGATTAATTTTTACCTGTGCCTTCCCTCTCTTTTCTTTCCTCTGTATTTGAGTTCCTCCATCTTGCTTGCCTACTTCACTGCTCCAGCCGTATGGTGACTTGTGTAGAGTCTGTGTGTCAAAGAGAAAAAAATATTCAAACAGCAACCTGAAATTAGTCCTTTTTTAAATTAACCACAGTATAATAGGTATTTTAAAATGACAGAATGACCTAATTAAGCCATTTTAAAATGTAAAAAAACAGAAACTGTACCTTGATAATTCTTCTATTTATTGGATCTTTGTCTTCAAGTTTCCAGAAGTCCACCTCTAGTGTTTTTGTATCTCTTCAAAGAAGCTCTACCTTCAGTTCACCTCAAACTCAGAAAAATGTCCTCCAAACTCAAATATCAGCAAACTTTTATCCACAGGAAAGAAGTTTCAACCATCCAAAGTAGAATGAAATTACATGAAATCCCAAATCATGAGTAAAAATGTATGTATTTTAAATTAGTTTCATTAAAAAATCTTGAGTTTTGGACTGGAAACCAACTGCGTCACAGTCTCAGTCAGACTGACAGTCTGTAAGTCAGTTTATCTTTTGTTCATCTGTTTGTGTGTTATCACCAGTTTATGAAAGAAACACCCATGTAGAGAGCCAGGTTCAGCCCTCTCAGGTGTGTGTGTGTGCGCCTGTCCGATGATCATAGTTCATGTAAGCAGTGTAAACCAGGAAGTGTGTACGTAGGTTTCGGAGATATTGATGAGAAACCATAAAATAGTGTATCCACCCAACATGAGTAATGGATATGATTGGAGATTTAAAAAAAAAGAAGATTTTTTAGATTGGGTGTGTGTGTGTGCATGCATGCGTGTGTGTGTGTGTGTGTAATCAAAGCTTCTCACTCGCCAAAAAATTGAAGTTATCTATCCAGTTTTTATGAGGGGCAGTAAAAAGGTACAAGGATCATTTGCACTGACGCACGCACGCACGCACGCACGCACGTATGCACGCAGTCTTAAGTGTTTTTAATTAACTAAGGCTAACATTTAGTGTTCTGTACTAAGGATAACCTTGGGTGAGAAGATGCTGTATGGAGAGTGCGTCTCACATAAATGCTTCGTCCTTTATATTTTGAAAGTACATCAGATATCAAAGAAATGCCATCCGTCCTTAAATATGACTCCAAGATGATCAGTGTAGTGTTTTGGATTGAGCTTTGTCTACATGTACTGTATATGAAATTGTTTTTATAAGTGTTTGTGGTTAATTTATGGTTGTAAAACTTGTGTCATCTGAAAACGCCATGGGAACAGGTGCTCTGTTGTTACACTTAATGTAAGGGTTCTTGTTTGCTTTGCCTTTTTGTAAACAAACGGTTTATTCCTGTCTGCTGGGCTTAATGCCATTCTAACATGAAACATGTTATTTTAGGCGTTGTAAAAATTATTAACTATTGTTCCAAAACAAAACCAACGACAAATTTTAATGAGTTATTGTCAAGGTCAAGTACTGACATTGATGGCAATTACAAATTTAGTGTGTTACTGTTACCACTGGGTGTCAGTACCGAGCTTTGATTGTAGCCTGTGCCTATGCTTCAGTGATTTTTCAGTGGTTTTGAGGTGTGTGTGTGTGTGTGTGTGTGTGTGTGTGTGTGTGTGTGTGTGTGTGTCACAAATGATCCTGGTGTGTGTGTAAGAGAAGAGATGGACAAGAGTTCTTGTTTGTGTACACCGTTGGTTCATGTGAATTTCTTTCATCTCAGTCATGTGTGTCTTAAATGGTGTGTGTACATTTGCACAAGAATGTGTGTGTTTGCGTCCATGAAGCCATGGTCCTGCATGTTGTGTGTGTGTGTGTGTGTGTGTGTGTGTGTGTGTGTGTGTGTGTGTGTGGTGTGGGCTCAAAAGAATGTCCCTGTCAGATTGTGGACTCTCATTAAGATGCTCTGCCAGTGCATAATAAGCTGGCCATATGGTCAACATGGCGGTGGTATCTCCCCCCACCTTCAGGTGGTTGAGTTTCAAAACAGTTCCACAATTATAACATACAGCAACCACAGAGCAAGGCAAGAGAGAAAGCAGATTTTATGTGTTTGATTTGGAGAAGCAAGATCACTTGCAAGCGAAACATCCCAAAAACCATCTCTTATTGTTCATAAAAGGATATGGGAATGGCTAACAGACCACACAAAGTTGTGTCAGACAAGAGTTTGGCATCTTGTCATTTCTCAGAAGCAGTGCTCTTAGCTCCACAGTCCTGCTCCATGATCTGTGAAATGTTGCTCACATCACGATTGTAATGTCACGGAGGGCAGTGCTACTGCTATTCACAGCTGATGCCTCTCAGATCTACAGAAAGGTCAGTAGCAAGGTACCCATCCCTGGCTCTGATTTGGGCACGTTGAAATGCTCATTGCCAAACTATAATTAGTAACCATATGGACTGTGTGTTGAGAATAACTACCTGCTGTAGATACACATGGAGAGGCTATGCTTACTCTCAGTATTAATCGGCTGTTCAGAGGCTGTAAAATGGCAAGGGAGGAGAAGGGTCATGAATGAAATTTTAACTCAAACTCCCTAGATTAGCAGAGAATATCTACTGGAAACCACTATTCTCTTCGCTCTCTAAAAGATACAGTTGTTTAATTTCATTTTGGAATTTTAGTCTTAGGTTTATATAGATTCAAATAGTGCCCTTTATTATGAAAGGGTTTCTGACACTGTCAGTGTCACTGCCATTCTACAGCTGCATGTACTGCAGGTATAAGCCAATTTAAGCTTATTGTCTCTGGTTTGTTTCCTTAAACATCCCATACATAAGACTGTGGGCAGCTGCTTCCAGCTCACAAGCTCACACTACCCCATGGTACAATACTTGCCCTGAGTGAAATGGTGGAGAGCTGAAGTAAATTATGGGCCTAGATAGTTTTCTCATCAGTCATTAGACCAAACCAAGGCTAAAGTAACACTAAATATTAGACATGCCATACATTCGGAAGTTAACCAGCGGACTCCAGTGGAATGTTCATGTTGTTCTGCTTCTGTTTGATCTATAAATAATATGAGGCAATAACTTAATACATTATCCACTTGACAAATGTACATTGCTCATTGCTGTGAGTTCATTTTCAACTCCACTGTCTTCCCTCTATCAATCAAAAATGATAGCTTTGACACTACTATTGATGTGTACTCATGAATTAAAAAAACAAACATGTAGCTTCTAACTGTTTCGGCAGATACGTTCAGTGTCCAGAGAAGATTGCACTGCCACTGATCAGGATGAATGTGAAAGGGAGTGCTACTGATCAGTATATTAAGGAAACATGAAGACACAAACAGAGAGTTTTTGAAAATTATGCACAGCAAGAACTCTATAAAGGCCTTGGGGCATTGATCAGCTCTGATTGTGCTGAGAGAATGTATTTAGGTAAGAATCAATTGAGATAAGCCTCCCCCTGGTCGAATACATACACTTAGACAGACACACATTGTTGATTCTTCCTTTAGCCTCCACTGCTACAAACTAAAAGAAAAGTCACATAAAACTATTCCTACAAACTGCACCACTAATCACAAAGTAAAAATTGTGTCCCCCCCACATCTGGTTCAAACATTGAAACAGCCTGCAGTTTGATATCTAAAGTCTGCCAGAAAGATTGCAGAGCAGTTATATATAGACATATTACTATATGATACAAAGACGTTTCGTTAACCAAAAGAGGCAGAGTGCTGTATAAATGTTCAGAAATGTCAAATTCATCAAAGTGTTGTAGAGCTGCATTCTCCAAATGTGGCTGAATGTTGTCTGAAACAAAGTGTGGATCAGGACGGTCTGCTTTTAGAAAGGTAATAAGGTAAAGCCTTTGATCTGGCATGAGTTTACTTGACTAAAAATGACACTTGTTAGACTTGAAATACATTAATATCCCAAATATCACATTCACAACCCTAATAATAGAACTGCACTGAAATCTTTATTGCAGAATGCTATTTTCAGTGCAATTTATTTCATATAGGTTGCAGGGAGATTATCGAAAATCAAGAATGATTTTTATAGAGGGTGCACCACATCCCGGCTCACAAGATGAGACTGGTGTGGGAAATATCTGATGTGCACATGATGTAATGTGTATGTGTGTTGTAAATGTCGTTTTATCAAAAAGTAATTCCACATGCATCATAAAATTCAGAAAGTTCAGTCATGTTGGACAAATAGGAACCATGCATACCGTTACCACAAACACAGAAACCCTGTACAGTATAATGCAATACATTTTTTAGTGGTTGATTCAACTCTGTTCACTTTTTTGGCTGTGGTTGTTATGTAAGACTGATTTGTTTTAAAAAGCTATTCTAATATTTCGTTTATTCATCTGTGAAACATGTTATTTCACACATATTGATTCACACAAATTAGATACACTTCTGAATACCATGTTCCAAATTTAAAAGGATTCCCTAGAGGAGTTCCCGAGATATTGCGTTCAAAAAGCCAAAAATGTGTTTAGTGAGGTCACCGTGACTTTGACCTTTGACCACCAAAATCTAATCAGCTCATCCTTGAGTCCAAGTGAATTTTTGTACCAACTTTGAAGAAATTCCTTCAGGAAGTAACTGAGCTATCGCGTTCATGAGAATGGGACGTACAGACAGACAACCTGAAAACATAACGCCTCTGCCCCTGGGTACAAATATAAAAACCTCTGTACAATCTACTGCTGTCCAAAATACTGCTGCAATAAATTATATATTTATCAACTACTTCATCATAACCGTAACCGACCTCTATTCAGTTTTTATTAAGACTGTTTCAAATAGGTTTAGACTATTGGATTTCTATGTTCTTGAGGTGTTGCAATGCATGGTATTCAGAAGTGTATCTAATTTGTGTGAATCAATATGTGTGAAATAACATGTTTCACAGATGAATAAACAAAATATTAGAATAGCTTTTTAAAACAAATCAGTCTTACATAACAACCACAGCCAAAAAAGTGAACAGTGAGTTGAATCAACCACTAAAAAATGTATTGCATTATACTGTACAGCAGGGGTCCCCAAACTACGGCCCGCGGGCCACATCCGGCCCGCCAAAGCAATTGGAGTGGCCCACTTAACGATCCCAGACAATCCCTCTAAACATCAACCAATTTTTATTAAATTGCATTTTCCTATCAGAACATCATAACATATCCGTACTTAAAGGTTGGCATTCTAATTAAAATTGACCATAGTTATGAGCTATTTATAGTTAATAGTGGCTCATCTTCACCTCCTCACACAATGGTATATTCTGACGTGACTTTGATCGTGACCGAGCCAGCGTCAAGCTGCAAAGTTCTGAGGTGGGAATCTGTCATGAAGGTGGTTGTGTCCTGCATAAACTTCATCAGAGCAAACGGACTTAAACACAGGCAGTTCCAAGCCTTTCTCTCCGAGCTAGAATCAGCCCACGGAGACGTGCTTTACCACACTGAAGTCCGCTGGTTAAGCCGGGGCAGAGTTTTGAAGCGTTTTTACGACCTGCTACCCGAAATCA